ATTTTTCGGTGGAAACGCTAACTGACACAGAATTCTAGGTCCGTCTGGTAAAGAGCTACCTAACTGATGTGTAATGCAAGATTTCATGCTTGGGACCGCCCTTAAGTGTGTTGAGGATCTCTCCGATACTGTGAGCTTCTCACTTTGAGGAGGTCTTCCTCCACCCCGTCCTCCCTCATCTGCTCCGCGCGTGTTTTTGGGTGGAAAATTGAAAAAAATCTCTAGAACATGAGCAGAAAGTTCGCTAGCTTTGGCAAGGCGTAGCTAGGTTGTAAAACACTGAGAGACACCGCCGTGTCAGCTTTCTCAATGCTTTTCGTACCTACACCTCCAGCTCCCTTCCCCTTGAACGGCCTTGAAGAGTAAACTTCTGGAAAAATGAAGGGGTTATTCAGAAGGAGGAGACTTGAGAGGGGTCATTTGTCCGAAATTTCAAACAACGCGATGCTAGGGCATGTTCTCGACAGTGAGCTGGTCTGGATAGAATCGAATCGGAAGACCGTTGAGTGATTTTCCATTCACTTCAAACGACAGTGAATAGCATAGCTGATTCAACATGAGATCGTAAAAAAAACCTAGCAGAAGTCATGCGGCCCCGCCAGAATGGTTTACCTTACAGGGACGGTCATGTACCAAGGAGTTACTTCTCGTAGCTAATACCCTTGAACTTAAGCTGCGTTTGACCAAGTATGGAGTTCTGTGGGGTTCCTCTAGGCAAAACGGACTCGGCTTTTTAAGAAGAGAAAACCATCTGCGCCCTCTTGCTTAGGCAGCGTGTTATGAGCAGTTCACAGGTAGTAATGCCAATTCGTCGTTAAAAGACAGTTTCCTCGGTCAAACGATTCGCCGGAATTTCCATGCCTGTTTATATCCACTCGCGGAGAGGAAGGTGACCACGGTGGTGCGGCAGCGTAGGCGGAAGAGCGTGCGGGGGAGAAGGGAGGAGAGAGGGCGTGAGAGGATGGCGTGAGTATTGCAAGCCGCGGTCGTCGGGATTGAGGGCTCGACTGGTTAGGAGGGGAGGGACGGGGCGTTGTGAAGCGATATTGCTCGAGGTCCATAGTCGTAGCCTGGAGCGTCGATAGGGTGTTTTCCGTTGCTCTTCGGGAACTAGATTGACACGTCGAATCCTGCTGATTGGCGCTCGCCGACACGTACAAACTCGGGCGCCTGGCACTTGACTGACTGAGGAGTGTCCCTTGTAAGAGTGTTCCCGAGGTTTCTCGGCTTCTTTGTTGTACGAACACTGAGCACCACTACGTACCCGTAACACTTGCATCGCGAGAGAGAAACCTTAAAATGCTTATGCCTGCAGTTGACCATTGGTTCATTAATACGCCAAAGTAACGCCGTTTGGCCTCTATCCCTTAGCCGTTCGTGCACATGCCTTTTACAACAGAACCAAAAGTTGAATAGATCACGCCGAAGGGGATTTTTCTGAATCCCTGGTAAATTTTGTCTTAAAAAGTACTGTAAGTACCTAATATAATGCACTAGAGGCGTTTGGTCATACATAGAACAGATTTTGTAAGAGATATTTCCGGTTCGGCCATAAGGGACGTCAAAGGGGTTTTTTGATCGAAAGCATTACTGATCAAGAATCTTGTTTTGCAGTAAAATCAAGAATGTTGTCAGAGTATAAGAAAACATAGGAGTGCTTTGATGTGGAAATTCATCTTCATCACATGAATGTCGCAAAAGAACAACTTCACAAAGAGTTATCAATCAAAAAAGCTCTGAAGCTATGATGCAACAACAAATGTGATGTCCTAAGAACATCTGTTATATTGTAACTCTCGAAGTAACATACGCCAGAAATCTCAGAGCAGGGATCCAGTACTTGCTAAACAGATTTTTAGTCCGGGTAATCTGGCTTACTAGGTGTAATTCCGAATGGTCATTTCTGAGAGACATGAAGTGTTGATACAGTGAAATTGGTAGATTGGCGCTGTGTGCAGCTCTGGTAGATTCATCGGCGATGTGGGGGAATAGGCACTCCACTCCCAGGTGATCGAGTCTGTACTACCCCACCCCCTCCGTCCGCCTGAAAAGTGGCTTGATACGACCCATCCCCCTTCCCCATTCTACTTACTACTTTCTTAGGTTTTCCCAATTTCGTACCACTTTCTCCAGTTTCTCCGATCCAGTTTTTTTTCAGGGGGTCTAGGTATGACTCATCCTCTACTATCTACCCACCATTTACTAAATCATTCCCAAAACGTTCAGCGGGTAAATATTGTGGGGGGATCCATGCAAACGAATGGGGCGTTTGACGCTGCGCGGTTGAGAGCGCAGCCAGGGCGGCATTGTTCCAACAACGGCATCATCTTGAGTCCACTGCAATTGGTGAAAAATCTGCTTTGGCTGCGCTCCAGGCCATGTCGCCTTCCTGCCGCCCCATCGTTTTCGGGGCAAGGCCACATCACTGGGGCCTACGCGCGGAAACCAGTTGGGAATTCTTGATCCGAGTCACGTACGCCCCCCCCCTCCTAGAAGGTGACCTGTTACAACCCCACCGCTTCCCCATCCTACCTACCACTTTTGATTTTACCAACTTGGAACCAATTTTTCTGGAATTTCCCGAAAATCAGGGCACATCATTGTTTGCGGATTTTGATCGAGTCTGTACTACCCCCCCCCCGTCCCGCCTGAAAGGTGGCTTGATACGACCCCTCCCCCTTCCCCATTCTACTTACTACTTTCCTTAGGTTTTCCCAACTTCGTACCACTTTCTCCAGTTTCTCCGATCCAGTTTTTTTTCTACTTTTCTGGTTCTATTTTCTACCCTTCTCCTGCCGTTACTTCCCTGGTTTTCCCACTTTCCCCGACGACTTCTGCTCCAGGCGAAGCAAATGGGATCCCGCCCCTTGTAGCGCTCGTGAAACAAGAAAAATCAACCATCAAAAAAAGTTTCCTCAGACCAAATACGACCCCTCCCTATACAAACAACCATATACGACTACCCTATTGGGGAATCCCAATGATGACGTGCCCTGGACCAGAAGGCAAATGCATAAGTAGAGCGATTCAAGGCCGGAGATTCAACAGAAAGTCACGAATTTTCAATGGGGCCATATACGACCCTGATCCTCTCTCCCAGCTTCCGTGATGAGATCCTCATAACGGCGAGTGAGAGTTTATGAAGGACTTCTAATTCAAAAAGTTGTGAAATGTCGTGTGAGAAGGGAAGGACTCAGTTGTTCCATGCGCTATTTTAGGGACACTCTGAAGGGGCAGTTAACGCTTTGATATCACTTGGCTGTCCTACTTGTGTTTGGCGTTGGTTGCATGGTGTGTTGCCTTCTCTCTTTCGCAGAGCTCGTCTACGAGCATCTCTTTTAGCGGTTCGGCTACACAACATGCACCGTTGAAAACATTTCGCGAACAACGAAGGCCAGAGTATCCGCCACCAGTCACAGAAAGCCTCATGCGACATCATACGCGCAGCGAACCGCCGCCGCCCTCCTCCTCCTCACAGGCTGAGCCTCTATCATGAAGAGCAGGTGCTGCTGCTTATAAGCAAGCCACCTACGGGAGGCACTCTCTACTAGCTAATGCCTCTCTCAGCCACGAAGAATCTCATCTGAGCGATGGCGCAGTTTTCAGGGCTTCGCCGATCCATCAGCCGCGCAAGTCCGCACCTATCGAAATCTGAATGTGAATCCGCGCCATCCGGGTCCTATCAGACATGCTCAAGCCTTCGAACTCGAAACACTCCATTGCTGAACGCCTCACCATCCGTCTCTCCTCCATCCTTCCTGCCGTTTCTCGTTCGTTCTTCTTAGGTTTTTCTTCTATGTATGTCGTTCTTTCTTACTGTTCTCGTGCCCTAGAGAATGTTTCATGATCTCCGTTGATGCCGAATGTCTTTAGTTCTCGCGCATTCATCATCCATTCATTGTTGTTCCGTCATAATGTCTGTGCAAGTGTCAGGCAGCGTTCATACTTCGCGAAGGTAGCACCTCGGTCGCGCGTTCGACGCAATCGATGCGTATGCTTTTGACTGCATCGATCGGACGCGCGACCGAGCGCTGCTGTCGCGAAGTCTGAATGCTGCCTCAGATACCGTTTCTAGGCAGTCAATAGTAGCGTTTTGTATGGATTTTGTTTCTGTTAGGCATATAGCACGCGAGTACTGCCAAACTATGATAATCACAAATAATCGAAATGCTCAAGTTTCTTCACCAGTCTCTTTCATCTGATTGCTGGCAAATTTCGACTCCCCATCTCTGCCATCTCAGTTCGCTATTCACGATTGTGACATGTTGACATGTACCTGCATCCTTGTGATTGTTTGAGTCTTTTTCTGCTGGAACACGAGCTCGTTAAGCTTTCTGGTCGAAGAGGCATGAAATGCGCTCTCCAGCGTGGAATAGACTCGTCTGTAGAGAAGATTTATTTTATTAAAGTTGTAACTCTGCAATAAATCATTATATATGTAATGAATTTCTAAAAGGAACGGAGAATCCTTTCCAGGAAGCAAATTCTAGTTGTTTTTCGTGACTTGAACGGCGGAAGTAATCGCATGTTAACTACTATGCAAGCTTTACACAACACAATTTCAGCTCATGTGCATTTTGCACGCAGGGATTTGGCAGGTTGAGAAACGTGCCTTTCTTTTTAGAATTTGAGAGCTCGAGC